GTCCCGCGCGTTATTCCCTTGGAAAACTGTGCGGCCCTTAAACTTGCGAAGTTCATGTCCAATGGGCAGTTCGCTACCCTTCTCAACGCAGATCTCGAACACTTTCCCTATGTGGACCTTTTTGCCTTGTTTCTTGGCTTTTGAGGCTACATCTTTCCACTCTTGGACCGTGTCATAAAGCCATGCATCTTTCTTCTCTAACTTCACCCATTCGACATCTAGGGATGCTTGCGCCTTGGGGTTCGATCTAATCTCCTTTCGATTGACGGGTCTGGCAACGAGAGTGTTGATTGCCTTCTCACCCTGGAGCCTACCGACCCTAACGAGCTTGTCACGATGTCTCTGTACACTATACCCACAAACAGGCATTTTGGGAATGTCTTCGGCATCATTGGATGATGATGATCCGGCGTTCCCTTCCGAGACGCGCACCAAAGCCCATGTTTTCGGAGTGTCTAGATCGTTTCGACGCAGCTGCCTTCTTAGGCAATGTGCTCATGTCAGTAACTCTAGCTAGCTTCTTCTGCTCTTCTGCAATGGCAAGTCTCCGTTGCTTCACCGACATTGATTGCCACACAAAGGATGGAATGTCCTCTTTCTTGTCTTGAACCCCCCCGCGTTATAGAACTTGGGGTCATCGTCACTACGAATCATCTCAGCTTTGCTGGTGTACGGGTTAAAGACTTCGATTTCAGACGGACCAGGCAACGTGCTCGGTGTAGCATCAGGAGTTTGTAAATCAAGTTCATTTCTTGACAAAATCGTGATGGTGGCACCGACGACCTCTAATAATCCGTCCATCGACCTATCCCACGGATGTATGAGTGCATTTGCTTCCACAACATGCCATGACTCTTCATCTGAATGCAAAAGAGATAGTTCTGTAGGAGTACTGTTCGGTGTTGACATCAGCACGTGGGTCGAGAAATTTCCCCTCACAAGGACTGTACTTGACCTTACATTCGGCGTAGTCACACCATCCGTCACTGATTCCACTTCCGATGAAAGCCAACCAACCCTGGTTCCAAACTGCCCGGGCACCAGATCCCCGAGCCACTGGCCCCTTTGGAAGAGTGGTGTCCGATTTCTCAAGTGTCTCTGCCTTAGGATTTGGGGCAACACTTTCAACAGCATCTTGGATGTCTAGGATTGTTTCGACTTCCTCTTCGGTCGCGTCAGCGAGCTCTCCTCTGCGAACCATCTCCTTGCGATCCTTCAGTGGGAAGGTAGACGGCTCAGGTACATCGATGCGAATAACTCTTTTTATTTGGTGCATATCCTCATATTTATCTGCCTTGGCCGATTTGAGGTCAACTACAAAGTATTCCGTCCTCCATTGAAACCCTGGATGAACGATGTAACCGACGAAGACTCCTGCACTTGATGTGGGGTCAAACCTCAGCTCATCTTTGGGCTTCTTCTTGGGACCATTCCAGTAGTTCACCATGCATCCGAAAGGCCAACACTTAATAGGTGATTGCTCTCCGAATCTCAGCTCCCATGGAGAGGCAGTTCCGTCTAGTGCATACAAGTTGTTGTTCATAACACACCAATGACGAGCAGCATAAGGCCAAAATCCATGATTGAGACCGGATTGCAAGGGGTTCACACGAGTTCCTTCAAGCACGGTTCGGATCGACCTTTCAGCAACTGCGTTGCTGGCTGATATGTATGCCTTCGACAGGACATGTCTCCACTTCAGTTCTTTCATGGCATTGATCAATTCAGGAGCATTGTCAGAGTAGCAAATTCCTACCTCATCTTCATTCGAAATGAAGTGTTTCATAGCCAGGATGACCGATTCGGCACTTTTTCTAGCACTGGGATACACATACATGAAGTTGGAGTATATGTCTTTGACAATCAATGCACACTTTTCTTCATCGATTCCCATCTCATATTCGTCACCGGTAATGAGAAAGTCACAAGTTATGTGATCACCGAATTTCTTGGCTTCAACTATCGAGGACCCGTCACGCCGATACGATGGAGGCTTTGTCATTTTTGCTTTGTTGCAAACGTCACAGTATGGGTTCTTGGGGTGATGGCTCACCAGGTGCCCGAGTGATTTAGCCTCTTCCTTCAACAATGATCAGTGGTTCGCGTAAGTCTGGAGGCTCCAGATCCTCTAAAGGTTCTCGTGGTTCGAAAGGCAGTGCAGGTAAGTCCACTCCCGCAGCAGTTTGTCTGGTTGCATCCATGCTTGCATCCGTCGTCGATGGTCTCTCGTTGAACGGTCCTACATCCATGTTGGATCAAGTTGGAATCAACGTCAGCGAGAGCCAGGCGGCCTGGGAAGGCGAGCCCCTCGACTGAGATCGGTCTCCCTTCTTTCTGCGTCTGTCTTTCTTGCTCTTGTCACTCTTTTGCGAGTCTCGTGAAGGCGATCTTGCAGGGGTGGCCTTCCTGGGTCGCTGTTGACCTTCATGGGAGATTTCACACTTGTCCCCCCGTTTGCAGCGTCCAGCCTTCCAAAACTTGCATGCAATCTTGGAGGTGTCCCTTTTCTCTTTTCCTCTGGACTGTGAGCGCCCCCTTGGACTCTTGGTTGCACTCTTCTCACGTTTCTTGGGTACCATGCTTGAATGGACAGTTTTCTTTGCTACAGCCCCCTTTGTTCCACTGAACACAGAACCCTCTGGGGATGAACGGTGTGCGGGCGTCGGCAGCAGGAGCGGACGTCTTGGCACCTCCAACACTAGCGGCAATCCGTCCCCGATTGCCCTCTAGCCTTTCCCTCATGAGATGTCTACGAACAGCGTCATACAGGAACTGATAGCAGTGCTTTGAACTTCCCTCTTCGGCCCGGTGGTACTCCTCAATGTCATGGGCGATTGCCCTGTGATTCTTCACTTGTTGGTAGAATAAGGTTTCCAGGACAGTAGTTTCAGGCAAATGAGTAACACCGGTAGTGACCGAGTCCCAGTTCGACAAGAAAGTCTTGAGATTGTCGCCCTTCATTTTCACATTGAATAGATCACTGAGGGAATAGGTAGCGCCATGTTTGATATTGGTACTGAAGTACTCATGCATCATCAGCAAAACCTGTCTCCCCCGTACCGGACGATCTTTCTGGGACTCTTTCTCCTTGAACGTGTCAACTTTGCGCGCGAACTCACCTGTGGCGATGGATGACAGTGCGGCGAGAAGCTTGGCATCGAGGGTAGTGAACCCGTCAGGACTTGCAAGACCTTCAATTGTTTGACCTTCAATCCAAACCTTGTTGATCCACGAGAAGGCTTTGTCGGGCTTGGAAGACGCGGCCCTTACCGCATCCCGCACCCTTATCTTCCAATTGCGATAGTTCTCGGGCTGTGGAAAGGAAGGTATCTTGATATGGTCTGCTTCCTTTGTGGTACTACTTTTGCCCCCCAAAACCTGTTTGAGCTTCTTCATAAGAGCCTTATCCGTCAGTTCATCGTCATCGTCGTCAAAATCATCTCCTCCGTCCGGATCGCTGTCATCTCCCGGAGGCCCAGGTGGTCCACCCCCTGACTTAGGAATCTTGAGAAGCGGAATGCCTGGACGCCCAGGGTTGATTGGGTCACCTAATGGACGACCTCCACCAGGGTTGTCTCCTCCTCCTCCCGGCGGTCCACCACCCCCATTGCCTGGTCCGCCCCTACCGAAGTTGCCTGATAGTGCATTTGCTGCTAATGACCCGTACCCATCATTCCAAGGACTCACCGGTTGGAAAACTGCAGCGTTAGGGGAAAATACGCTTCCGGGTTGAGATCTCATGGATGGAGTACCGAACAGATCAGCAGTTCTAAAAAAGATCGGACATCATCGGTCTGGGACAAACCTGTGAGCGGTGCTTCATGTATCCTTCATGTATCGGTATTGAATCACGAACTTCGGCAGCTCCTTCCGAAACGCCATGCACATCATCCTTCCGTCCCTTCAATTCACGAAGTTCTTTCAGGAGTTGTGCCTGGACAGATTCCGTTTCAGCTAATCGCCTCTGCAAATCTAGAGACGATTGTTGTTGCTGCGCCAAGTTCATTTCAAGGAGAGAGACTTTTTGGCCCTGCATCATTTCAAGTCCAGCGATGTGTTGACGGTGGTTCATGGACATTTCCATGAATTGATTCTGAGCCTGCTCTTGTAGAGTTTGATATCCAGCTTCGGCTGCATTGATGAACGATCGCGCATGAATTTTCATCTCCTCGCTTTCGGAAAATGCTTCATCAGCCTCATTTCGGAGCCTCTGCGCTGCAAGCATTAATTCTGCTCGCTGCCCCTCAAGTTGCTGATTTTGAGATGCCTGGCGCATCATCTCTGCTACCATTGCAGGTGGTGTGCTCACGAGTGAAAAATTGGCCTGGTTGAAAATCGGCGCAGTGTTCCCACCCGCTCCCCATCCATCAGCTGACATGTTGGATCCTCCGTCTGGTGTAGACGAGACGCCCGGATCCATCAGTGGTAGATGAAAAGCGGCGGGGTTTCCACCCACGCTCTCCCGCCCATCCGTACCTCCGTACGGCGCAGCCAGCCTCGCGAGGGCTGTCGGATCGAGACTTAAGTCCATGGCTGCGAATGACGAGGGAGCAATGCTACGGGCCTAAGGCTATACGGCTGATAACCTATGTTTACAGGAAATCAGCCTAAAGCGCCCAGCTTTTTCCTTGAGCCAAACACGAGAGTATAGAGGTATATTTACAGTAATGAACAATGCTTACTTAGAAAATACAGTAAGCAACTTGAAGAAGGAAAGCTATTGAAACACTGAGCTTGGATCCAGTCAAAACCAGTGCAGCTCATAGGAACGTGCTTTTCTTGCAACACACACAGAGAGAGATTCCAACATGTTTATATAAACCTCCATACCCCTCAAGTCCCATAAGCGTGTTTCCTACCGCCAACAAGTCATCTATATATGTATCTATGCGGTTATCTCTGCTAGTTCTTCATGTGCAAAGTACAGCTTGGAGGATGCAACGCCACTCAAGGCGCAAAGACACTACTGTAATTAATTATCACCCTGACTTGCTCAAGGCCTTCTTAGCTGTGAAGGTATTGTCACGGCCAGAGAAGAAGACCGCACAGCTGACAGCAGGGTTGAAATGACCCCCAGATATATCCTTGGCTGCGCTTAACTCCCATGCTGAAAGTGACGCTGTTAGGTTCAAGGTGTCATGATGAACCTTCTTTGATGTATCAAAGGGATTCAGAGGGAGGGGGCTAAAGGTCTACAGACATGGCATAGGCACAAGCAAGCATCCCCGAGGGCATAGATCATGGCGCACAAAGAGCAGGCTATGCTGAAAGCAGCAGCCTCGGATCCTCCCAATATGTTGCAGGAGACTGTGAGAACCAAGATGAAGACCCCCAAGAACTCACCTGGGTAACTTCGCTGTGGAAGCAGCTAAACTCATCAAATCAGTTCGAGCATCAAGAGTCAAGACTAAATCTGATGTAATCAAACGTTGGAATGGTTTGGGATCATGGTTGTTCATGCTAATTGATTCGACCAATGATTTGACTCGCACAAACACATACATTCATTGTATGATGTTGTTCAGTCACTAAGCAGCTGCTCCGTGATCCTGCCGGCACTCAATTGAATCCCGAAGTCCGTTGGTCGTACCTTGCTGAAGAGGAAGGCGGCCACTGCTGCCCCCAGGAGCTCGAAAACACCATAGATCAAGCAATAACCAAAGCCTCCTCTGACGCTGGTGATGTCCAACGCGATTGCCACGGCAGGGTTGAAAGCACCGCCAGAGATCACTCCGGCACCATAAGCACCAGCCACTACACAGAAACCAATTGCGAGTGCAAAATATTGGCCTTTTTCATCCTTGTTCTTTTTTGCCGCTGCCACATTGAGGACGACAAAACATAGCATAAACGTGTAAAAGAACTCGCATAAGCATGCTGAAAGAAGAGTATAGCCTTTGCTTACTTCTACAGAAGCGGACTTGCCCAACATGATTGCAGCGGTCACAGCAGCGGCGACCCCAGCAGCAATCTGCGCTGCGCAATAGATACCCACCTGCTGCTAGGGACTCCAACAGTGTGAGCGCTTGCACGTATAACTTCTATACTACAGTAGTATATTTGTACTATATAAACTCTGGCGCAAAGGCAAGCATAGATCAGACTGAGGTATGGATCGTGAAATGAATTCTCTCGAGTCATCTCTGCAGGGTGATCTCTTCACTGATCTGTAAGGTGCAAACTTTGCAGTGAACTCGTAGGTGTGACCTAGAGTGTTTCGTGAGGCATGATCTCTATATAAAGCAGTGCTAGTGTGACATCTGCATTGAGCTGTGGTGTAAAATCTGCAGCGAACTCTGATGTGCACGAACTGATCTCTGAGGTTCGTTTGATCTCTGAAGCAGTGGCTGCAGCAATCACTCACGACATGGGAGAGTACACGAACGAGAGCCCACATATGAGATTGCCTGAAAACACACATGAGAGCACCTGCAAGTTATGGAAGGTGCCGCACAATCTCATAACCGATGCCATTGCAACTTGCATCCGGGAAGGCGGCAAATGCACTGCAAGTGGCTCGGCTCGATGGTGGTAGCCGAGTGGGTTCTTCGCGATCTCGGCAAGTAGCTGTGTGCCCTGGTATTTTGTGATCTCAGCTCTTTACAACCTCCCGAAGGCAATACTCAAACAATCTCTTTGCGGCCAGCCTCATTCCAAAGCAGCGTGTGATCAACGAATTGGTCGTGAACAATCCACCTCTGGTAGGTGTTCCACAGGCGTATCTGGAGGTGTTTCTCTCAGCGCAATCGTGCCTCTCTACCGCCTCGACCTTTTGGTAGCCCAATCTGGTCAGCCTTCAGAAGGCACTAGAGCGGCTAGCACCATTCACTGGCAAGCGTCACATCCACCAGCACCTCACGGCCACCGACGCCAACCACTACGAGACTCTCCCAAGCTTGAGAAATCCAAACATGTCGCAATCAATGTAGTGCACTTGCCACAAATAGTGTACTCCAAGTCCGAAAACACGCGCTCACTATGACACCGACGCTTCTTGCGTGTCCGCAAACAACATGAAACAACTATATTGCGTATGTATTTATGCGCCTCAGAGTCGTAAATGATGCAGTTTGGTGCTTCTATCTGAGTGTTTCCAAAACTTCTGCTGACCCCATCTTGACCCTGCATATGTCAGAGAATCACTTGGCAGCTGCACCTAACCCTGGACTCTCAAAGTTTCCTGTCAGTGTGATTCTTCTAGGCCTCCTTCCAGTCCATGCCAGGGCCATTCAAGCTCTTGACACAACCCAAGGCCACTGACACAGCCGGGTTGAAGTTGCCACCGCTGATGCCTCCTAACGCCTGGATCACCACAAAGAGCACCGTGCCTATTGAGAGGCCAGCAAAGAGAGGTGATCCCACCTCAGAACCAAAGCAGATCAGAACCTTGAATGCTGGTGCCCTGATGATGCTCCCAACCCCCAGAAGAAGCTCTCTTCATACCACGGATCTACAAACGATGCCCTTTTAAACGACCTCGATCAATGACGAATAGTTTAGTTTGTGTGCTAGCCTATGACAGTCAGCGTGCAAAATGAACACATTGATCTAGAAATGTCTTTGTGTTTTGTTGCATCAATTGTCACAAAACCATGACAAAAACAGCATGCGCATGTGCAACCTCCTTGATATCAGGAGAACTTCCTGTGTGTGGGGTTGCACTCATGGCCGGCCTTCACTTCTCACTCTTGAAATCTCGATGGCTCCAACAGCTTCACAGAACAAGAATGTCCCAAATCTGACCCGAATCCATCCAGCTCCCTGATATAGGCCGACTCGAGGCACTTCAACGTCACGAATCCTGTGAATGAAAAGCAACCGAATGCAGAGACATGCATTTCGTGTGTCAATCGCAGAAGTGCATGCCATAATTTGGCCACTAGGCACAGCAGCATACCAGCAACATTAAGACCAGCTGTTCCCCTGTGTTGAGCAGTTCTGTGGAGAACTTGAGAAGGAAAGCAGCCAAAGCAATGGTCGAAATAGAGCAATGGCTACATCACGTTATTCAAGGTACAAGTAATGTGCTGTTGCCAGTGATCTCAATCCTTGCCAATGTTGTGGTAGCCTGTTTGAGCAAGGTGCAACGCAAGCGGCAAAGGAACGGAGACGGAGTGATTCTTGAGAATCGCCATGCCGCTACATTTCCAGGGTCTAGCAGGCGAGTAGAGAAAAACATTTTCTGTTTGCAAGTTTGGCAACATGCGAAGAGTAAGTAGTCAAGACCGAGAAGATTTTCCGATCATTGGCCATTGAGGGTATTCCTTGCAAATTCTCAAATGGAACCAGCAATAGGTTCAAACGTTGCCTAATCTTGAGGTACAGCGCCGAACACGGCAAGAGGGAGCCAGTCTAGATAGATAGATAGATAAATAGATAAGTAGGCAAATACACGCTAAATAACTAAATAAATGCTCAGCCCCCCAACAACCCCCCGAAGATAACGAAAATATTCTACTTCGAAAGCTTTCCTCCAGATCTCTGGGAAAGTAGATTTCTCCAGATGTGAAAAAAACACATTGTGTATTTATAGGCTAACCTATACCTTTACGCCCAAGGTCAATGATCTCTGAAAAAACATCTCTGGGAAAGTGGAATTGCTGATACGGGATCCCTTATGACTAGTTGTCATGTCAAAAGTTGTCCTCTAGATCTCTGGGAATGATCACTTCTATGTTTAAAAAGTTTACAGTATATACAAGTTGTCATTCCAAAAGCGTCCCTCTGGATCTCTGGGAAAATAGATTTCTCCAGGTATGTGGATCAAAGCACAAAACAAAAAATAAACACATTTTGAAGATGTGTTTCTGGTGTTTCATTTGGTTTCTTACGTTTTGGAATATGGGAAACCAAAACAAACCGTGTGTGTTATTTTTGACTGGCGATTGTTAAAGATGATCTTGAAAAGCCAAGATTGTTGTCCTATCTATGTTTGGTTTCATTGTTGCTGAATCTTCAGAAACCACAAAACCTTATGTTTTTGTTTTTTGTTTGATCTTCCTTGGCCATAGCTTTAAACAGACCAAAAAACACATGTATGTTTTTTGGCCCCAGCCAAAAAACAAGGGAAACCAATAAAACGGTTTTGGATGTTAAACCAAAATTCACCCTTAAAAATGTGATTGGTTTTGTAATGGTATATGTAGTACAAAACTCACAAGCACAAATATCACAGACAGGGTTTAACATTTGCGTAGTGTAATGTAATGGGAGATCACAAGTATGTATAAAAATGAATGCATTGTAAATAATTTACTTGAGTAGGTGTGTACAAACAACCAAAAACTAAACAATAACAATATACTGCAGATACTAGTACGAACAGTATGTTAAGGGGTGGTAGCGGGGTGACCAAACAAATAGATATGAAAAGAGAGAGATGAATATAGAAAGAGAGATAAACAAAATACAGGTCCTATCTTGAGCCATCGTTGGCAAGAACTTTGAAAGTTCTTGCGAATGGTTGGTCAATTGTGGACACCAAGTATAGTGACGTGTGGTGATTTGCAAGGATTGGCAGCGCTAAAAAGGTGTATGTACTGTATGTGTGCACGGTTGTACATGTGTCCATACATACATACGTTACACGTTACACATTACACAACATTACACTACACTAAGTTTCATTACATTAATACATACATGCATACAAACAAACATACATACATACATGAATACATACATGCAGTTACATACAAACGTACGCACATACATACACATACATACATACATAACATACATTACATTAATACATACATGCATACATACATACATACATACATACACATACATGGATCTTCGCCTTACCTTAGCGTACACTACCTTACCTTACACTACATTACATTACGTTGCATTACGTTACATACACACACAACACATACAATACAATACAATACATTACATTACTCTACAAAGCATTGCATTACATTACGTTACATTGCATTCGTATGTAAGTGGGTGGGACTGGTGTTGAAAAGCAATTTTGGAACAGGGGGTGTGACATAGAGAACAAGGATGTCTCAATGCAACGTAGACATTTGTCTCGTTCCCTCGGGCCCTCGCTGTTTCTGGAAACACTGTTTTAGGACTATGTATGAAAGGCAGGGGATGGCTCAAGCCCTGACTGTATGCACAGGGGGGGCAGACTACGCAAATATACAGTATACATTTTTCGCCATTGTATGACATGGGGTCAGGGTCAACAAAAACCTCTAAAAATGTATGAGAGGGGGTAGACAGGCCCAGAAGCTAAGGCCAAATGCACGCACACCATAAAGGTTGACCACGCCACTGCGCAGTAGTGTACAGAACATTCTCTTGCGGTACTTTGGTCCCCTGGTGGGCAAATGTGGATGTGGCCAGGCCCTTGGAGATTGGTGTTCAGGCTGATTTGTTTGGGGTGGGGGGCGTCGTATAAGCGTGCCTTGGCAACGATTCTCGGGAAAACAACGGAGAACGCGTGCGTCTGCTGGTCGTCTTGTATTTTTGGGTGGGGTCTACAACGCCACCGCCCACCCCAGGAAACTCTAGCAGCCCTAGCACAAGTTGTATGAACCCGCAGGGTCGAACTTTGGAAATCATTGATTCTTTGGTATTGTATGAAAGGCAGGGCCAACGTTTTGAGAAAGTATACTTTTAGGACAGTGTATGAAAGGGTGTGGGGGACATACTTAATCATCGTATGTATGTATGTATGCATGCATGCATGCATGCATGGATGGATGGATGGATGGATAGATGGATGGATGGATGGATGGATGGATGTATGGATGTATGTATGTATGTTTGTTTGTATGTATGTATGTGTATGTATGTATGTATGTATTTTTTCTCTTCTGAAGTTGCTTAGTGGTGCCCCTTTTGGGCTGGTTGGTTCCTAATGGCCAGGCTCAGCTCCATTTCAGAAGAAGTCGACAGTGATGGGGTCGACCTCTGGGATTTCCTCTTCAGCACTCTCAGGTCTATCGGGAAAGCGCCATCAATGCAGGTGCTCTCAAGGAAATTGTTGAAGATCTCCTCGTTGGCTCGTTTGTGTACTGCCTGATTGCATTTGGTGCACTTAAGGTACCCGGCAGTCTCCTGGTAGACATGGGCATCAGCCGTGGTGGGATGATCCTGTTGCGTCTTCAGGATGGTGGCAATTCGGCTGGCTCTTGTGGGCTTTTTGCCGACTGCTTTGCCTGGTTGGAGATCCGGTTCTGGCGCTGGTACGGTCAGTGGTGTACCCTTGTAAGGCATGCGTGGCACTGGTACCCACTTCTGTGGGGTTTCCACTGGTGTTTGCCTGATTGCCCTGGCTGCTTGCATTGATCTATGAGGTTCTTCTTACGTTGTTTGGTTTTGTGGCCAGTTGCACGCCCAGGTTTGCTGTGCACATAGTGGTCCTTGTCCTCATAAATGCTTGCCAATCGTTGGGCTGCATGTTGGTAGATCTCGTAATGGTCGTGGTCCAAGATGTGTTGCCATGCTTCTGTGTCTGAATTGTGAATTTGTGTGGCCCGTTCCCCGCGTCCCGCTGCCCCTCATTGCCGGGAGCTTCTGTTGTCTTGTGGTTCTTGTGGATATAGAGCGGTGTGATTTGGGAGTAGTATTCCGCTGGATGACCCTGGGCAAGGTCCTGGAAGCCTTTCCGCTTGCTGGGGTTGGTCCACGCTCCCCACACAGCGCTGACCTGGATTGCCACACGAGTGGGTGTCTGGATAAACTGGGGCCAATGTCAGTAGGCCCTGGAAAAGTGCGCGGGCTTTGGTTTGGGCGCCCTTGCCCATGCCTGCGATGGTCCCCTTTCGTTGCAAAGCTCCCAAGGAGTATCCATGAATGCATAGTGCATAGATCCATGCTTGGGCTTTGGGGTCCGCTGAGGTCGGTGTGGCATCGATTGTGACGGAGAGGTCTTGCCATGGTTGAAGTGGCAAAGGCTCAAGTGTTTTCCAAGACCCATGTCCTTCCAGCCCAATCGGGTCAGTGAGGTGGTCTTGAGGCTCCTTTGGGATCCATCCATAGGCCCATAGGGGCTCCTCGAGTGGGTCTTGGAGCCGTTCCGTCCATGGGATGGGCATTGGTGGGTGCTTGCGCCCGTGGTGCCACTTACACATCCAAATGATGTGTTTTGGTGTGGCCGGGACTCGGCAAATGGGACAGGTTTTGGTGGCATCTCCTTCCTTGTATCGGATGGCCGCCTGGTTCCACGTGCGGATGTGGTTGGCCTGCGCCGGGCTGAACTTTTTGTTTGCCTTTCGTGGTTGGTGGAGGTCTATGTGTGCTTCATTCATGAAAGCCGTTTCATTGCGGCGCCAATCATAAAGACTGTTGGCCTGCCAACCCCACTCAAGCAGATAAGCAATTGTAGCTGCCAATGGTCCTTTGACGTGGTACCATGAGTATTGTTTCCGAAGTTGAGCTTGCAGCTCCATCCATGCCTTCTCCACATGTCCCAGGTGCTCTGGTGGCCAGTGGGTGATGAGTGTGTGGAGGGCCTGCATATGTTGAAGTACCACTTGGTCTGCTGGGTCCATGTACTTGTTTTGGTACTGGTCGTACACCACATCAGTGAGAAGTTCGGTATGTTGCCCAAGATGGGCGGCCAGCGCTTGCCGTAGAGCTAGGCGGTACCTATGGGCCAAACCCTGGTCTTCGACTCCCCAAATGTATGTATGTATGTATGTATATATGTATGTATGTATGTATGTCTGTATGTATGTATGTGTGTATGTATGTATGTATGTATGTATGTATGTATGTATGTATGTATGT